TTACTTCTTGAGAATTCATATGATTACTAGTGATGCGTCAAGTTTTCATTCATCATTCATTACTTAGATGGCAATCATAAAATAGTATCATGACAAGTGAATTAACTACCAGATATATATTAATCAAGACATCGAAACTTCGTTTGTAACCGAATTAATCCATTCTGCAGTATTCATTTTACTATCTCGGAGTTACTAGAAGGTGAAAGTTCTTAAAGTGACCTACTACTAACTTTTATACGGTCCACTCTCGGCATATGAAGAAATTTCGTTTGCCGTTAGCCTGAATAAAAATGATGTAGGCAGTAAGACGACACTAAGTATATCTTGCGCTTAACATATTTTATTGGGTTTCCCACTACATGATAAGAACAACTGTTTAAATCTCAAGAAATGGCATCATTTAAAGAACCATTGAAAACCTGCGAGCAGTGGACAGTTGTTTCGGTCTATTATGATATTTCTCAGCAATGCGCACTTACTACTCCATCAGGGAATGAACCTATGACCATAGGGTCTTGCGGCAGTCATTTCACCATTCAGCCACTGAGGTACAATTTAGTGCTACATATTTTGCTTTAAAAACCTCGCCTGGTTAACTAGTTTACTAGTTACTAGCCGGTCCTAAGCCCGGGTAAAGAGGGAAGGTTGGGCATAGGGCTAGCAACCCTACCCCGTAAAACAAATCTAACCGCTAAAGAAACTTCAAAGCACAAACAAAATATAAAAAATGAAAACAAACTTATTCCCCGCTGGAATCGGAGAGGCGAAATGACGCCAGTTGGTGAAAGCCTTCGGGAAGCCAATTGGCCGATGTGTCTTCTCTCTCGATGAAAGCGAAAGTAAACGTGGGGACATGGAATGTCCGCACGATGTTTGAACCCAGTAAGGCAGCCCAGATTGCAAAGGAGATGAGAAGGTATAACATCGAAGTGCTTGGGATTTGCGAAAGCAGATGGAATGGGAGTGGACTCTCCAAACTGTCAACTGGAGAATCAATAATCTACTCCGGTCACCCAGACGCCAACCACGAGCACACTGAGGGAGTGGCTATCATGATGTCCTCAAGAGCATCGAAGGCTCTCATGCAGTGGGAACCAATCTCCTCCAGGATCATCATGACAGCAAGATTCAACTCAAAAGGAAGAAAGGTCACAATCATACAATGTTATGCACCTACAAATAATGCAGAGCAAGAGAAAAAGGAGGAATTCTACAGACAACTTCAGTCAACACTGGACAAGACGTCAGTTGGCGATATCAAAATTCTAATGGGCGACATGAATGCCAAACTGGGAGGGGACAACACGGGAAGAGAACTAACCATGGGTCGAGAGGCGCTAGGTGAAATGAATGAGAATGGAGAATTGTTTGCAGAATTCTGTGCATTCAACGATTTGGTGATTGGAGGCAGTGTGTTCAGGCACAAGGATATCCACAAAGCGACATGGATTTCACCAGATGGACACACTAAAAATCAAATCGACTTTATCTCAATCTCAAGAAAATGGAGACGCAGTCTACTTAACACAAGGTCAAGAAGAGGAGCAGATGTAGGTTCAGACCACTATCTAGTGCAAGGAACCTTCCAAATCAAGTTAAAAGCCTTCAAGGAAGCTGGTGATAGACCTCAACTCAAGTACAACACTCGGAAACTGAAGGATGAAACTACAAAGGAGATCTTCAAGGCAGCCATCAAGACAAAATGGGAGACATCGAGCAACATCCCTGAAGAAACCTGTGTGGAAGAACACTGGAAGTCTTTGAAAGCTATGTGGAAAGAAACCTGCACAACAGTATTAGGAAGGAAGAAGAAAGAAGACAAGGAATGGATCTCGACGGATACCTGGAAGCTGATAGAGGAGAGGAGGATGGTGAAGCAGAAGATAAACCAGTGCAAGGATGCTCAACGACAAGAGGAACTGAGCACAATGTATAAAACACTGGATAAAGAAGTGAAGAAGAGTGCACGCAAAGACAAAAGACACTTCTACGAACACTGGCAAGTGAAGCAGAACAGGCTGCAGGTAAGAGAGACCTGACGACATTGTATCAAATAACCAGGTTGCTATCAGGGAAGAGACCAACACAGATGAAACCAATAAAAGATGAAGAAGGAAATTTAATTACAAAAGAAGAGAAACAGAGGAAACGATGGGCCGACCACTTCAAGAAGCTCTTGAATCGACCACCACCTGCACTTCGTCCAGAAATACCACCTGCAGCCGCTGAATTACAAGTGAACATAAATCCCCCAACGAAAATGGAAGTCCTGAACGCCATAAAGCTACTGAAATGCGGGAAAGCAGCAGGACCAGATGGAATACCGCCAGAAGCACTGAGAACAGATGCAGAGACAACAGCGGACATGCTCACACCACTATTGCAGAAGGTGTGGAAGGAAGAGAAGGTACCGGACGATTGGAAGAAGGGTTACCTTGTCAAACTGCCGAAGAAGGGAGACCTCAGTGCTTGCAAGAACTGGCGCGGAATCACTCTCCTGTCCACCCCAAGTAAAATATTAAGCCGCATCATCCTGGAGAGGCTTAAAGACGCACTGGATTCAAAACTGCGACCGGAACAGGCAGGCTTCAGGAAGTACAAATCATGTGCTGACCAAATTGCAACGCTTCGTATCATCATAGAACAGAGCATAGAATGGCAATCAGCTCTATACCTCAACTTCATCGACTTTGAGAAGGCCTTTGACAGCGTCGACCGAGAAGTAATTTGGAAACTGCTTCAATACTACGGAGTACCGCAAACCTTTATCCGCCTCATTCAACAACTATATGAAGATGCCACATGCCAAGTAATCCACAATGGGAAGCTCAGTGATGCCTTTGAAGTGAAGACAGGAGTGAAACAAGGTTGCCTACTATCCCCCATGATATTCCTTATTGTGGTGGACTGGATCATGCAGCAAACAGTAGGCAGCGAGAAGAGGGGGATACACTGGACTACGGAAAAGAACCTAGAAGACTTGGATTTCGCCGATGACTTATGCCTAATGTCACATAAACTTGAAGATCTGCAGGCAAAAACTAACAAGTTGATAGAAGAGGCAGGGCAGCGAAGACGGGACTTCAGGTGAATATAGAGAAGACAGAAGTGATGAAGATACCGCACCACCACCATCAACAACAACAACAAACTCCAATCACCGTCAACGGGAGAAACTTGAAGGAAGTAACCTCCTTCACTTATCTAGGAAGCACTGTTTCAACTACAGGCGGGACGGACGAGGACGTCAAAGTCAGAATCGGAAAAGCAAGACAGGCGTTCATTAGCCTGAAACCAGTGTGGAGATCTTCTGCACTCAGCATCTGGAACAAGATACGGATTTTCAACACCAACGTCAAGTCAGTGCTCTTGTATGGCTCAGAGACTTGGCGCGTCACGAAAGGCATTTCCAATAAACTACAGACATTCATCAACAACTGCTTACGCTCGCTGCTGAAGATCAGATGGCCAGAAAAAATAAGCAACAAGGAACTCTGGGAACGAACCAACCAAGAACCTATCACGCAACAAATATGCAGGAAGAAGTGGAGATGGATTGGCCATGCACTGAGAAGGCCGACTGAGGACATCACGCGTCAGGCCCTCGAGTGGAATCCCCATGGGAAGCGACGAGTTGGACGTCCGAGGGTGACATGGAGGAGGTCATGCGAGGAGGAAATGAGAGGCTGTGGGCTGTCGTGGAACCAGGTTCAAAAGATCTCAGAGAACAGAGGTCACTGGAGGCGTGCTACTGAAGCCCTATGTTCCACTAGGAACCCAAGGGACTAATAATAATATAATAATAATATTGTCCTACTTCCGTCAATTTGTGATAAAGTGTAACCTCCACCCAATGTTATCGTCAGGTACTTCTTCTCACATCCATCTTCGTTGCGTCACGACTTCACACTGGAACTTTGTCACAAAACCTAACAACGCTGGATTCTGTCCTTGATGGGATCGTGGGTGTGCATTGTTGAGGAGTCCCACAGGGCGAAACAACTATTAAGTGCTCTCGGATTTTCAATGGTTTGCTAACTGATGTACGTCTGTGATAAATGCCACCTTGAAAATAGTCAATCTTCATAAGTCTCCAGACTGAATACGTTTTTAGACATTGATTCTACTTATTGATTCAAATGAAGACGAATCGTAGGCGTAGTTTTTAACGAGCAAGAAAAAGATTATAGCAGAATAATATGGATCTATTTTATTATTTTGGTGGTTTTGTCAGCTGCTTACAGCCTAGAATATTTACAACAACAAACTACAATAAAATATTAACATACTTTAGTTCAATGAAATCAGTCGGAACGGGACAACGACAAAAAGAAGAACAGAGAATTGAAAGTCACAAGTACTCTCAGTAGTGCAGTTACGAAGCCCTCAGTGGACACAGGCCGTCAATGAGATGCTTTGGAATCATTCAAAATAATCAACAAATGGAATAATTCAAATCTTTTTCGCTTTGATGAACCCATTTCACCCAAATGCTCGAAACCAGATTAACATATTCAAAGGAAATCTGTGGTCAATTTCAGCTAACCTGGTAACTAATTTCGTAACTTCCTACTCGTATGATTACATCACTTTCCTGTCATTAGACTTTCAGTTCACACCAAACACTAATCATTATCAACTGAATTCTACTCATCAAGTTTGAATACATTTTGTTTCTTAATTATTACTCAATTGTCTTCTCATTGACTTATCCTACCTCTTGTTCTGAATTCCCCGATATTAGTTTTTCTACCCCCCCCCCCCATCTAACTTTTACGAGAATTTTCATTCTTACATGATATACATATGTGACATTATCACATGAAACTTTGAGATTATTTCACTTCGTACGAATTCCTCGTTAGATTGTATGGTCGTCCCGTTTTGACTCATTTCACTGAAATAAAGGGTTATTACTTTATTGCAATTTATTATTATTTTAAAAGTTCCCATCATGTTAATTAGAACGAGATATATAAGCGAAAAATTTTTTTTTTCAACTAGATCCTCTTCAGCCTTTACTTTAGTATAAATAGCTGAATATATAGAACAATCAAACCAATCATGTAGAGTAGTTGGTTAGCTTGATAAATGTTTTAAAATAACGATAGTTATAAAATTAAAAATAATAAAAGTGATGATTAAATATGTTTAGTAATGATAGGCAGTGGCTAGCAGTGGAATCCAGGATGCGCATTTTGTCCTATTTGGGACTCGTCAGCTGGATGTACCTGCTTCTCAGTGAGTGATGTTGTTCCCACTGGGACTCGGACTCGGGAGCGATCGCTTCAAACGCCAGCGCGTTATCCACTACACCACCGATGATTAAAGTTAGAAATTCCCTCTATGAAAATTAGAAGACATTTAAGCTAACAATATTGTTTTCAACTAACTCTCATCAGGCTCTATGCTAATATACATACATTTTCTCAAATATAGGAAAAGAAAACACTAAGCCAATCATGGTGGATTCTTTAGCCTGTGGTAACTAGAAAATGAAGTATGCAAGTAGTAGATATTTAAATAATAACATTAATAATGATAAGAAGAGTGAGGACAGGATGGTACTCCAAACATTTAGACAACCAATGCAAGTTAAAACTTACAAAAATGAAGGTTACGTAATACTAAAGGGTGAAATGTGTAGACAATCAAAGTCTAAGAATATAAGTATATGTGAAAGGGGTGAAGAAAGAGGAAGAGGATGAAAATTGAATTTATCTTTGAAGTCATTCATTAGGTTTTCTCTGGCTAAGGGTTGCAAAAACTTCTTTTGTACACGAAGACTAGGTTTGATTTCTCCAAGTCCCATAGCCTCAGCTATTTGAAGTATGAGAGGGCGAATTTCATTCGAAAGATTTTATGGAATGCGATAAATGATTTTGAACGCTTTGGTCTTGTCTATTATATGACCACATTCAAAACCATTTATCGCATTCCGCAAAATCTTTCGAACTCAATCTGCACTCGCACATTACATACAGCGAAGGCTGCGGGAAATGGAGAAACCAAACCTGATTTCTGCATGCAAAAAACGCTTGCGCACCCTTTATCTCTGCCTTCGCCTGATGTGAGCTAACTGAAAACAGTATTTTTCCATTATGTCTTCTAATAAAGTAGTTGTAACATACATGATAATGATTATACGAATCAAGAAAGCAGCATGGAAATGTAGACACTCTGATGATCAAAATGGATCAACAATTAAGTTATAATGAAGGATGAGGTAAGTGGATAAAAAAAGTCGAAGTAAATACAGTAAGTATATGAAAAGGATGAAGAATAAAAAAGGAGATGGGAAGTTTTTAGTGATAAAGTTGCTTATTAAGTATTTCCTGACAAATTGATGTACAAACTTCTTTTGAATACAATGACTAGGATTCTTAGCTTGAATTCCCACAGTTTCCGCTAAGTGTAAAAAACGAATTCAAATACCTTTCGTAAGAATAGATAGCATACTATGAATAATCTTGATTGCATTGTTCTTATCTACCAAGTGACCATTATGAATCAACAAGATGAGATAGAACAGGACTTCCTATGGATTTTACCTGTCTTTGTGTCAACCACGAACGTAGATAGCAACATTTATCATATAAACTGACAAATCTACATGATCCGTTTGACATATATATATCAAACAGAGTAAAACGTGAAGAAAATCAAAGTGGAAACAATTTTGTTCGTTTATATGTCTGGTTATAATTTATTGTTGTAAATATTCTAGGTTGTAAATAACCAACAAGAACCATCAGAATAATAAAATGGATCAATATTATTTTTCCCTAGTGTTTGATCTTGCATTTTTAAGTTGATAACGAGAAATATGTGCATAAAATCTGAGTAATTATTGTTCAAGTCTTGTTAGGTAAAGCATTTAACATAATTCAATAGGTTAATAGATGCAAGAGTACTTTGGACATGAGATCTAAAAATAGGATATTTAGATGTTTTACTTTGCTATTGAGCTCGAACAGTTTACATAGCAGCTGTCAGCCGGACTGAAGCTGTTTTCCGCTTAGTCTGACTGAAGGTGAAAATAGATAAAAGCTGAATAACTGCGGAGGAAGGGAACATTTAATTTAGGTCGGTTATATGGTCTTTCAAGAATACTGGCTTTCAGAGACTTCAATGAAGAAAATTTTCATTAGTTGATTCCCACTCAAGTTTTTCAGAAAAGCGAGGAAAATAGCTGTAAAACTACTTCAGTATTTCCCTATCTACTATTCAAACGAAAGCACTATCACTAGGCGAAATTCCGAGATATTTCGTTGTTTGCTAATGGGCTTGACACCAAAATCCAATTTGGAGGTCTAATTAGTCAAACAAACGATCTTCTTCCAGTTACTGACAAGTATTTAGAACAACTGAAGTCAAATATTTTCAACTCTTGTCACGCAGTATATTATTATGAAACGGAATGCTAGATTGTTATCAAAGGAACACAGATCCCAACTAAGAGGCCTCCTCACAAACAAAAAGTTGTTGGTCTGTCTCTATAGGGGTTCCGGTATCGTCTTCACTGGCCATCATGCTTATTTTACGAGGTTGTCTTTAATACTATCAGATTATATTGAATTTTCAAAACAAAATGTTTATGAAGACACAAGTAAACAAACTGAGCAGAAGTTGATCAAAATCCTTAAAAGGATTAATTTTTAGCAGCGATCTGTTCGAACATTTGAAACTCTCAGACTTTTTGATCCCACGACTCTATGACCTGTTGGAAGTATACAAGAAAGATGCTTCTCTCTGTTCAAATTTGAATATGAATAATTCCTGATAACATGTAATTGCTAAGGGGCTGAGTGAAATTCTTCAAATAGTGAGACGTTGGATTAATAGATATACTTCATTTGATTTTGTCGACATAAAAAATAACCTCAGAGTATCTGAAAAACGTATGTTCTCTTCCGACAACCCTTCACTCGTCACGAATGTTCTATTTGCAGAAACTATTTGTTTCCTGTGTGACTAAATCGAAACTTATGATCTAGAAGTCAGTGTTGTAATTCAATGCCTAAAGAAATTATTTCTACGATCCACTTTTAATGTAACGTTCAAGTTCAGCAGAGAATTTTATCGGTAAAAGGATGGAGTAGCTATTGGGTCATCCATGGGCTCTTTTCTAGAATATTGCTTTATGGGTAATTTGGAAGACACGGCACTACGATTACACACTGATCAGTCCCATCTATATAGAAGACAAATGGATGATAACCTCATCATGTGAAGTGAGAAACTTGATCTTGGTACCACTCTTCTTAAATTCACTCAGGGTCATCCCTTGATCGATTTCACAGTGGAAGTTGAGAATAACTCAGAATTCACTTTCTTGATATTTCGTTGAAGTGAAGACCTGATGGTTCCCTTAAAACGATCGGTCTGTAGGAAACCAACTTGGAATGGACAATACATTCCTTTACAAAGAACCACTGAGCCACTAGAGGAACCCTGCACGAGAACTAGAAGAATTCACATAAATAACACAACAGATGAACAGCTGGAATATTTTTTCGGAAAGACTATCCCCCAAGATTCATCGCAAAAGATGTGAAGCCAAAACAGCAACTAGAGAGGGTTCTTACTATCCCTAAGAAGATCTTATTCATCAATATTGAGTCCAAACGGGACAACGCAGCAGAACTACTGATGAATCATTCCTCTCCCCTCCCCCCGCAGCTGACAGTTGATGCAATGAGGTGTGAAGGAAAAACTGCCACTGTTGACAACATTTACGTATTTCTATCAGTTTACCTGATATTTATGTAGGCCAAAAAACCGCAGTCTTCACAAATGCATCTCCGAAAACTATGCTGCTTGGCTGCCCAGAGGAGAACACAAGCAAAGCAACAGTTACATCTTAGACCACCTAGTCAGTTCTAGTCATGTCGCTTGCCTACAGTCTTTTTAAAAAAATCCTACATAAATTCAAACTGGATGGTGTAAAGGTAGTGTATATTTATCTCTTGTGTATAGCAGAGCCACTGGCAATCCAACAAGTAAAGCCTGAGCTTTGCGTACAGAGGTGATACTCTCATTTTCATAATCCTTCGTTACGTTTTTTAACTGTTTCAATATTTACCTTACTTTTACTGACTGACCGTCATGATTTTTTTAATATTTACTTTATGGTTTACTTTCCTATATCTATACATATTAGTACCAATTTCCTGTTAAGATCCTTAGAACGCTATACTCCAATTATTGGTTATAATTATAATAATTTTTCGACCAAGTGGTCATCATCATGTTCGGCTACAGATTTTCCTTATATATACTATGATGATTACGCATTATTCTTCTAACTCTAGAAACGACTTACTATTTCACCCTAGGACATTCCGTTTTGATGACCTAATGTCAATCTACTAGCCGATAATAGACTTATTTGTTTGTTCGTTATTGCGATAAATACGTTTTTACGGCTAAAGAAAATTCTCTTCGCTGAAATACTTTGTGCTTCCTAGTTTTCTCCTTTTAGTGAACAACTTACTGTTTAGGATAAACAGTTAAAGATTGGAGCAAAATGGACAGGTTTTGACGTCAAATTTCACGACTGTTTACTTTCTAGGATAGCTATAGATTACAGTATCTAAAGGACTTCAGTAGAAAAACGTTTTGCAGTAGCTTCAACCGGTCATTGCAGTGAGAAAGCTCAGTGACAGCAATTTAGGTCTAAAGTTACATTTGACGAGGAGTTTGTGTGTTGAAAGATGTAAACTGAGGTTAGCCTTACACGACTCAGAGACTGGAAATAGTACCACAGAGAAACGAGTTAGTCAGACTGCTTAAGGAGTAATATTGGGAACAGAGGATAATGCAGATAGGGTTGCTAGTGATCGTGATAATGAGTCAATTCATTAGTAGATAGGATGCTTTAAACCTAACCGTCATCACTGTAGCATATCGACAGCCTTGAGGAAACCCATGCTCAATGTTTCAAAATAACTGAGCGAACGAGATCAACCACGCATTTCTTCGTCTGCACTACTATTTGGGACAGAAATTAAACCTGCACTCGGCAAGGAGACAATCCGGCACCAAAACGCCACGTATTTATCCACATATACGGAAGTTAGAATGTAGAACTGTAAACGTTGGTGATATGTATTACCAACAGGCTGTAATATGTAAGAAAGTTCATTAATCAAGTTTGCTAATGATAGACTGGCTTTGAATTTATATGCACCAATCTATGAAATAAAAGCTAACATTCTTTTAACTATCGCTTTGTTACATACTGCAACATAAAAACTACACTTGTCACTTAAGAGGTAGCTACCGTGACCCAATGACCTAGAGAAACGACCAGCCACGGGTTCGAATACTAGTAAGGACAAGATCGCTCACTAAGAAGCAGGTACCTTCAGCTGGCGAGTCTCAAATAGGATGAAACGCCCGTTCTGGATTCCACTGCTAGCCACTAACCATCATTATCATCTTAATATTGTTTAACTAAAGAAAAAATTGATAAAAGAGTGACATATGACAAATCTATTACGGTGTATTATCAAAGTCCACAATAACTACAGTGTGCTATTTGTTTTCTACATTTTACTACTACTACTAAGTCTGCTTGTCTAGTACGAAATTAGATTTCAGTATCTAAAAACGAATACTTATGCGATTTGGTTGTAATAAGTCAGATAGTAAACATACTTCACCTAAAGTCTGCTAAACAGATTTGTTCTCAAATGAAAAGATTAAGATAAGCTTTCGGCAAGAAAATACAACGCAGATATATTCTAGTCAGTTTAGTCTTCCGCTCAAAACGTGATAGACAGATTGCTATACGCTACAACGAATGAGACAGATTACCTTAAAACAGTATCAAGTTGTAAAGTTAAGTAACCAGTATGCAATTCAACCTTTAAGCGACAAATCGATTATTTCGCAGACAGTGGAGACAAAACGCAACAGAATACCTTGAATGTTCCTGATGTCAGTTAGATTAAAACTGAATAATCTCATCTTAGGTAAGTGAGTTAACAAATACATTGTACGAAATGTGCGATGCAGTAAACATGAAGAATTATACGTATGAAAAGCTTCAAACTAACCTGAAAATTTTGGCACTGGTATTGATGATATAACTCCTTATTATTTTCTCTGTTATTTATTCATCTACTGTCTGTAGGGCTGGTGAAGTTTTAGCCGAGTCACAATCGGAAATAGTAGCAATGGGAATGGTAAGTTCCAATTCATCACCAAGTGAAGTTGTGCTTCCATGTGATAGAACAATCTCCACTGGATAGTTTTTATTTGTCCGATGATTTGAATTTGAAAATCCCTTGCGTAATTCATCAAATTCTGTCGAATCTTGGCTTACAAATGTAACCGATTTGTTTGAATGATGTAGAGCATCAGTAGTTGACAAATTATCCATGAATTCTGGACAATGTAAATTGGAGCTGGAATTTAGATCGTTTATAGGCTTACACTCATCACTTGGCTTTCTATGACTAGGGTCTCTGAATACAACATGTTGATTTACAGATGGTTCATAAAGATTTGGTCCCTTTTGTGACTGTACTAATGAAGGCGACAAATAATCATTTATTTTCACCTCACATGTCTGTGAGAAAAGAAAGAAATTAATTGCTGAACTATGTATCCTTTATTTTAACGGTAAAACTAGAGACAAGTGCCAGATTTTCAAAATAATGCACACAGTTGCTAATATTAAATCCACTACAGAATTCAGTATTATATGCCTTTGCTTTTTTTTAAAAAGACCACATATTTCTGGCTATACTGTGTTACAGTGTGCAGTAGACTACCAAGATATACATAAAAAGTTCCGAGTCCTTTTCATAAACAATCAATTTGCATCGAATTTTCGAAACAAATAACACGTACAAGCGTGTAACACCAGGATGGCTGAAGCGGCAAAAAACCAATAGGATATACTGATCTAGAAATAATCAAAGTCATTGTGAATATATAAAAAAACTGTTGTATTTCGTATATATTTCGACTCTGTAATACACCTTCTGTTATCTTACCACCCTTTCCATTTACCGAGGAACTCAGCAACTATCAAGCGTGGAATCTGAAGGTTATACCCCACCGCAAAATATCAGTAATGGCGGCTAGCATATTACCTTTAAATATAACTTGTTTATTTATTTATTCAGTTGTTGAAGCCAGCCTAACTCTAACCCGGAAGTAAGCAAGTCATAACTTTTAAGATACTTAGAACTGCTGGGCAACAGGTGACAGTGTATAGATCCCTCTCTGTTGCAAGTGTCTAACAAAATGAAAGGAGATATATACAGGTTTACAAGGAAGTCTAAACTAGGCTTAAATAGATTCTTACTACTTTAGGTTATTATTATTTTTCCCTTGGGTTCCTAGTGGAACATAGGGCTTTAGTAGCACACCTCCATTACACACTGTTCTTTGCAGTCTTTTCAACCACGCTCACTACTGCCTGCCGTCAAGAAAATTACTGATAATTATGTCATAAAACCATAGAATACATTCAAATGTTAAGATTAAATAAAATCCTATATATGCTAGATGAACAATACTTATCATGAATTATGCACCTTAATAAGAGAACAGACTACCATTCTAAACCTCAAACCTCTGATAAAATAGGATCTAGGCTAGATTTTACTCAATAAGAAAAATAACTGTTTTATGAGGCCCGTCTAAGTTGATTTAATAGGTGTGTGACACGGTGAAACAGAACTATTTACTAATGTTTCGGGAACAGTTTATTGTCAACAATTTTAGTATAATAACTCCATTTCTTTGTAACATGGTCTGTATACTTCCAATTCATTGGTTCATCACCAGAGGGTAACCAACTTATATTGTCTAGTCCAGCTGCCACTCGAATAGCTTAGTAATAACGTCTTTGCATGCAGCACTAGGTGAAGAGGGTTCGAATCTCAGAGGGTACATCAGTCCTGTAGTCGTTGTAGATACGCCTTTCTGACGAGTGCCTAAAATGCCGAATCCTAGATAGAGGGCTTCCTGTCAGTTGCCTTCATGCAACTAATACCAATACTGCTAATTCTCTCTCCTTCTTTGTGATGTGTAACTGTATATGATGCATATAAGAGATCAACTGAAGTGGAATTACACTTTATCATAACCTTTAAGTTTTACTCATGTATAAAGAGGGTTAGTTCATTTGCTTCATTCATTAATCTCATCATGTGAGAGACTAAATGGCGAATAACTTCATTAATTTCTGACCTTTATGTTATTAGACAACTTCAGGAAGACAACAAAATTGCCAGTTTCATATAATTTCTTCAGAAATTCCCTTTATTTTATCTATTCTTCACTGGTTGCATTCCAGACAAACTTGTACCTGTTTAAATGGACACTAAATCAGTTATTCATTAGATTTGCCTAGTTTTTCCGAATTAGATATTCTTACATATCACAAGCAATACTGAATCTCAAGTTGGTATTCATCAAGAACTGACATCAGTGGGAGATCCAGTGAAACCTGGGAGCACTGGATAGCTGAAATTAATAAAATTCCCGCAAAGCTCTAAATTGAATTCAATGCTAAATGTTCTGTTCGTCTGAATTTGACGATGCAAATTATTTAGAAATGCCTAATTTGTTTCGATATTTCTCACATCTGTGTAATTCTTGACCATTCAGAGATAATCAGATAAATTAAAGCGAAACGTTATACAGCGGCACACAAACAAAAAGTGAATTGAAAACAAAAGGCAATGAAGTAGACAGATGTTTATGAGAGGAGAGAGTATAAACACATGGAAGTTGGCAGAATGATCAAGAATGACTGATTCTGACCTATACTTGTCAGAATCTTCAACTATTGATTCCTGTAGTCCATAGGTTTCTAACCAAAGAGATAACATTTTTCTATACGGCTCTGAACCAAAGCCAAGAACCTAGTGGATTGTAGTCACATTTTAGTCTGGTCATATTTAGCTTTGTTTCAAGTTAACTCTAATTTGATCAATAGCATGAATCAAGAAAGGTGGCAGGATGGTATGCGCAACATATGTTTGTATCAACTTACAAGACGAAGTTTTACGACTGAACCAACTGACTTGTCTTTCTGGACAATTGTTTTTCAGCTTACAACAACACTCTCTTTATGAAGGTTTCACCAAATCTAAGAGATACCTAAGAGACTATTTCCAGTGATCTACAACAAAATATGTGTGACTACAGAGAAAGAAACAATTTTGCTCTCCTTGGTAATTATATACACAATGGTTTAAATGATAAAAGTTAGTACTTTCTTCTTTGCTGAATGAATAATTTGAATAGAGTAGTGAAAAAACGTCAAACCTTCACTGGGCAACCTCCAATCAATCACTATGTGATATTCAATTTGACTAAAGACCTTTATTTATGTAAACTCCTCTGTACTTTTCACAACAAATGGAACAAAAAGTATCTCAAAAAGTAGTATTTAATGAATATAAAATATATGGTGAATTCTAACTACAGTCTATAAAGTGTCCTGTTTGATAGAACTAACCTCAAGTCTACATTTTTCATAGGGTTCTCCTTGTTCGTTTTCTGTTTGCCGACCTAATATATGTACTCGCTTTTCTCGTATAAAACCATGAGATTTTGAAGCACTATCAAGGGAGTAGTTAGCCTGAACTGGTATTATATCAGGTGACATTTTTGATGACGATGGATGAGGTGTAGTTTGAACAGCATCATGATCATCAATAAATAAAGTGAATGTAGGCTGATTATGAATGGAATTATTTGCAGTTTCACTAGGTGACATTTCAATGCCATGAGATTTTAAATGAGATGAACTTTTCCCTAATGATTTCAAATTCTTCCACAAACGATGTAAGGGATTTTTATATATTTCATCTTGTAATAGCTCTAAAGATAACTTATTATTTCCCCAAGAGTTTTTGGATGTAGATGTAAGCATTTCATTCTCAGTTTCCCCTTTAGTTCTCGATGAATCACTTGCTAAAAAATGACTAGATTTGTGGGACGATTGTTCAAAAGATCTATTTTGTGAGAAATCTGGCATACTTCTTCGTCCAATATCCGGAGAATATACTAACAGTTTACCTGTGTTTTTTGAATTATAATTTGAATGAATAAACTTTGAATTATGTGAATTAGGATTTTCAAATGTTGTCAATGACGATGTTCGATGTGGCCTTTTAGGTAAAGGTGTGATAAATATATCACGAACTGCTCTGAATTGACCACAGTTGTTCAAGTGTTCATTCTCCAATCGAAAGAAATTCCAAATAAAACGTCTTAAGGTAAAAACAAAGGAAAAAAAGTTAATTTGTTAGTACTTTTCCGCATTGTTATTTTGCTATCATAGCATCGCATACTTATTAGTGTAAATCACTGGAAAATAACCTTTATTGCTTTAGAGAAAAGCTCAAAGTAATTTAGTTAGTAGAGCGCTCAGTCATTAATTTTACAGTTGGTGGTTTGAACCCTGCTACAAAGAAGGTTTTCATTTCAAAAACCTTACGCACATATCAAGCCAATAGCTAGGGAAGAACACTGAAATCAAGGTTTCGTCGTGTTTTTTAAATCGCACCCACCCCCAAGTGTTAACATCAGTTTTACTTCTAAGGAGCTACCTACATATTTTCTTTGTAACTTTAAAAAGCATATTTTTTAACTTTTCGAAGTGCAATAAACTACAGTTTCTCTTAGTAATTGTGATATATAGGGAAGCGTATGCTGTTTTACCAGGCAATTTTTCCATCGTGCCTCAGTGGCTTATTGGATAACGCTCTGGCGTCTGAAGCGATGGGCACCGAGTTTGAGCCCCAGTGAGAACAATACCACTCACTAGGGTGTAGACACATCCGGCTGACGAGTCCAAAACAAGACGAAACGCGCGTCCTGGATTCCTCTGTCAGCCACCAAGATCCTCAAGGAAATTTTACTATCGTTCTCTTAGCTCATCTCCTGTCTAACTAGAGATAAGTCTTGAGTCTTTTGTGAAGACATTGTTTCCCTGTAATTGAATGTTTAAGCTTAATACTTCACGAAAATTTCATATTTTGCATACATACATAACTGGAAATACAATTTTTTAAAAACATTCTGTAAGTTCTTTCTGCTCACACGTTTACTCACCAAACACTCAAGACATTTATCCAGAAAAAAATTTCATGAAGCGTAGAAATGACTTCATTGTAGACGATCGTGACACCGACCCGTGAATAAAACCAGGAACCACTACCTAAACAAACCTGTATTCATGAATACATGGGGAAAAGATTGCATAACGATGCAATAGGCTACTTATGTATTTATACCGTATGAGGCCTCTATATGATTCACTAAAGACGAAGTAAATATTTGTGCATTCCAATAATTTGCTTGAGGATGAGTATATTTATCCTATACTTTCGACAAGTTTTGAACACCTGCTCTGTTGTATTTTCTATGCAGAACTCAAATGAAAGTTTACCAATGTAAGCAAGCAAATACCAACCTAGAACCGGCTTATTTCCATTTGCTTATCATCATTCTTCAGGCCACTTTACAAAATGCGATAGAAAGGTTTAACTTTCTCTGCATAGTTTTAAGCTTAACAGAAGCATCTACCTCGCCTGGTTCACTATTAACCAGGCGGTTCTAAGCCCGGATAAAAAAAGGTTAGGCTTAGGGCTAGAAAAACCTACCCCGGAAAACCAAACCAATCGCTAAACAAACTTCAAAGCACACAGAAATTTTAAAAAATAGGACTTAACATATTCTTCAATGAAATCGGAGAGGTGAAATGACGCTAGTTGGTAAAAGCCTTCAAGAAGCCAATAAGACGATGTGTCTTCTCTCAATGAAAGAGAAAGTAAATATGGCGACATCGAATGTCCGCACAATGTATGAACCTAGCAAGGCTGATCAAATTGCAAAAGACATAAAAAGGTATGGTATGGAAGTGCTTGGAATCTGCAAAAGTAGATTGAATTAAAGTGGACTCACTTAACAGTCAACTAGAGAGGAGTCAATAATCTACTCCGATATTGTCACCCAGACGACAACCACGAGCACATGAAGTCCCCAAGAGCATCGAAACCTCTCAGACAATGAAAACCAATCTCCTACTCCACAATCAGAACCATGACAGCAACATTCAACTCAAAAAGAAAGAAAGTCACAATCATTCAATGCCATGACATACACCTACAAATAATGCAGATGAAGAGGAGAAGGAGAAATTACACAGACAACTGCAATCAACACTGGACAAGACCCCACTCACCACAGTTGGCGACATCGAAACTCATTCTAATCGGTTGAGTGACATGGATGTCGAACTGGGAGCAGACAACACAGGAAGGGAACTCATTCATCATCGGTCGAGAAGCACTCAACGAAATGATGAACGAGAATGGAGAACTGTCTGCAGACTTCTGTGAATTCAACGATTCGGTGATTCGAGGTGAGGCAGTGTGTAAAAACACAAGGATCAGGATATTCACAAAGCGAGCCACATGGATTTGATTTCACCAGACACACTACACTAGAAATCAGATCGACTTGATCTCAATGTGAATGAATTGGAGACGCAGCCTACTGGATAGGGAAGGAGATCAGATGAAGAAGGGGAGCAGATGTAGGTGGTTCACACGACTCACCATCTAGTGCAAGGAACCTGCCTTGAAAATCAAGTTGAAGCCTTCAACTCAAAGAAGCTGGTGATAGGCGACCACAGTTCAAGTAGAACACACAGAACAGAAACTGAAGTGAACTGAACTGAACTGGACTCAACTGAAGGACGAAACTACAAATAACATCTTCACGTCAGTGAGTCAGTGAGTCATCAGGACAAAATGGGAGACATTAGGCAACATTGCTGAAGAAACCTGTGTGGAAGAGCACTGTAAGTCTCTGAAAGAGATGTGGAAAGGAACCTGCACAACCATATTAGGAAGGAAGAAGAAACTATACATGACAGGGAATGCATCTCGACGGACACATGGAAGCTGATAGAGGAGAGGAAAGGAGAGGAGGGAGATGGTGATGTGAAGCAGAAGATGAACCAGTGCAGTGCAGTGCAGGGATGAACAACGAAAAGGGGAAGTGAGTACAATGTATCAAATACTACACTGGACAAAGGAGTGAGGAAGAGTGTGCGCAAATACAAAAGACACTTCTACGACACACTGGTAAATGAAGCAGAACAGGCTGCAGGTAGGAGAGACACAGGGAGAGACCTGACAGCATTATATCAAATAACCAACCAGGTTACTATCTGGGAGGGAAAAGATAAACACAGAACAGATGAAATCAATAGAAGATGATGAAGGAAATCTATTCACGAAAGAGCAGGAACAGGGCAAACGATGGACTGACCACTTCATAAAGGTCTTGAATCGACTAGCACTACCACCACCCCCTGCAACTCATCCAGTAATACCACCAGTTGTCCAGCCACAGAATTATCAGTGAACACAAGCAGAAGTCCTGAACACCATAAAGCTACTGAAATCCGGGAAAGCAGCAGGACCGGATGGAATTCCTCCAGAAGCACTGAAAACAGACGCAAAGCAACAGTGTACATGCTCACACCACCACTGCTGAAGGTTTGGAAGGCAGGAAGGGAAGGTACCTGGTGGTTGATTGAAAGAAGGGCTACCTTTTCAGTGAACACCCAAAGGAGAGGGACCTATGTCTTTGCAAGAAGTGGCGCGGAATCATGCTGCTGTCCACCCCAAGCAAAATATTATGCCGCATCATACTGGAGAGACTAAACAACGCGCTGGGTTCAAAATTACTATCGGAACAGGCTGGCTGGTTGGCTTCAGGAAGAACAACTCATGTGGCAACCATAGACTTTGAAGAGGTCTTCGACAGTGTTGACCGAGAGTGTTTCACAATAAAAAGCTCAGTGACGCCTTTCAAGTGGAAGTGAAGATAGGAGTAAGACAAGACTGCCACCTACTATCACCAATCATCTTCCTGATTGTGGTCAACTGCACTGAACTGGACTGAACTGCATCATGCAACAAACATCTGTGAGGAGCTGTGAGAAGACAGGCATACGCTGTTTGGAAGATGAAAAGAGACTAGAAGATTTGAATTTCGCCAACGATGATGATTTCTGTCTAATGTCTTGTCGCACAAACTCGAAGATCTACAGGCAAAAACCAACAAGTTGACAGAAGAAGCTAGGCAGGGCAGTGAAGGAAGATGGGACTCCAAGTGAATGTAGAGAAGTGATGAAGTTATCCAAATAACAACGACAACAACAAGCACCAGTCACCATGAACAAGAGAAACCTGAAGGAAGTAATCTCTTTCACCTACACCTACCACCTAGGCAGCATCGTTTCAACTACAGGCAACACAGGCACAGATGACGATGTCAAAGGAGCCAGGATCCGAATAGCCAGACTGGCTTTCATTATTCTGAAATCAGTGTGCAGATCTACACACTGCACTGCACTGCACTGCACTGCACTGCACTCAGCATAAAGTATGATCAAGATTCGGATTTTCAATAGTAATGTTGGTCGAGTCAGTGCTTCTATATGGTTCAGAAAGTTGGTGCATCACGAAAAGCACTTCCAACAAACTACAGACATACATCATCAACATCTGCCACCTAGTCTGACTCGATGCTGAAGATCAGATGAGATGAGATCATATGGCCAGAATAATGAGAATAAGCAACAAGGAACTCTGGCTGGCTGGCTGTTTGGGAACGAAACAACGAAGCAAGAACCTATCGCCTAACAAATATCTAGCAGAAGAAGAGAGTGGGGATGAATTGGATTTGACATACACTGAGGAAATCATACAGAGACATCACGCGCCAGGCCAGGCCAGGTCATCGAGTGGAACCTGCATGGGAAGGGACGAGTTGGGTGTCCGAGGTGAGGGTGACATGGAGGAGATAATGTGAGGAAAAAATGAAAGCTTGTGTGCAGTCGTGGAGCCATGTTGAGAAGACTGGAGAGAAGAGAGTGCAATGGTGGCGTGCTACTGAAGCACTATGTACCCCCAGGAACCCAAGGATAAAATAATAATAATCTACATTTTTGATAATATTTTAAAAAGTGATATAGCGTGAAGTTGAACAACTCTCAGAAAGTGAATCTGGTATTTAGACAAAGCGTTTTCTACCCAAACGTACCTCCGAACAATATCCTGCATGGTTGTATGTAAGAGAGTGTAAAGTGATTAACAGCTCGATTTGTTAGCATCTGGTTAAATTTGGTCACTCTCCGCTACTGGAATCGTCCTTCAAAGTCATTTATAAAGTCAAATTAAGCATTAGGAAGAAAGTATGGGTTCACCACATTAACACTGCAGAAACCTTAGTAATACATCTGTTCAAGTGTAACCTCTTCATACAAAAGAAGTAGGTTCAACCTTTAATTTTATCTTAATCAGAATCTCCTTAAAACATTTCATTTGCTTATTTACTAGTCATTTGTCTATTTATTGTAATCCTATAAACAAATTTTTAATGACTTTGAGTTGACCTTCTATTCATAGTCACCCTGTGACTTTATTGACAATTTTTGATTATATTTTGTTGACTAATTGTTGAAATTGTAATTACGATTCTACACAGCTTTTGAAAGTGATTCATGGAAAAGAAAAATTTCTTTGCTTAATTGTCTTTTGCTAATTTTTAATTCATTAATATTCAGTAATGTTTGACCTTGGCATTAATTTAGTTTGTATCATAGAGGTTGGTCGGAGAATTTCTTATATGTATGACTATTCATCACTTACCTCGATTTTCAAAGTTGGCTAGAGTAAAAGCACAACAGAAACATGACAGCAATGAGATGGAGAGGTTGTACTACTGATAAAATTACTGAGTACGGACCTGTAACATATGGTACACTGTAAGTTTATTGCTTGTGATTCAAGTGATAAAATTAAATAGTGTGTTGAGACCTTATATAAAGTGACTTAAAACTGACACTTCGTTGCATCTTTCAAGATTCGTATATGCTGTCTTCATGTGTTTCTATTAGTGCTTAATTCTACATGTCAACCATTCTTCACTTCACTCTTATAGAATTACAGTAGCTAGTAATGATGTACTACTGATAGACCTAATTTAAGCGAACCAAGTATATTGGACTCCATAATCACCATAAATGATGAATAAAAAGAACCATATCATTAAAATAAAGAAGGAATGATCATCTTATCATCCATCTACTTACCGAATAACTTCAATTGTTAATACTGTTGTGTTAATAATCTCCATCCTTTCAAATCCAATACGTAGAAAACTTAAGCGAATAATCCATGTTAAGCGAAATACAAAATCTTCAACAATTGCGAAGAAATAATAAGCCTTATATCTGTAGACTAGTTCATCACGCAATAATTTATTCTCTGATCGACAGTCTAACAAACCCCAATCCATTAAAATATCCCATGTATAAGTGTAACCAGATCGAATAAAACAGGATATAACATATGCTATCAATGGCATAGTTCCTGCTAATATGAATGAATAAAGAAGAATAGTAAAGAACAAGAAGACAGTAACAAAAAGGGAAATAATAAATGCATAACTAAGATGAGAATATCGTGTTGATACATTTTTCAGTTTTCCCATATTTTTAATAATTATGGTTATTTTAACGTAAGAATAAACCGAAATGAATGATAGTGATTTTTTTTGTAATAATAAGAACAGCGTGACAAATTTTTTTAAAAACACTCGATATGTTAAGTTAAAATCTGACCATCAGCTGACCGTGGTAGCTCAGCCAGTAGGACATAAGGTTGGCAATCCGGAGTCCACTGGTTGGAATCCTGTCATGATATTGGTTTTCATCTCACCTTCAATTACTAAACAGTATCAATAATATTAGTCTGTCAACCCATCAGATAGCCTGATGAACACTGGAATTCCATTTTAGACAGGAATATCCCTGGGAAGCTTGCTAACATCTTGAAAACCCTGAACTCTAACATCTCATTGATCCAAAGTAATAGTAGGCTTATACATGACTGACCGACATCACCATTCCTCTTCAACTTTGCCATCAATGACATTCTATAGACAGATACGAAAGGAGGGTTTAATGGTGATGTAAACATATGAAAGGTTTCCCGACCTCGAGTACATGGACGATATCATTTCGCCGTATGACAGAACACAGGCTACTCAAATCGCAAGTGAGTATGGTATTTGGTTTACACCATCGAAGTTTAGTGCTTCTACAAGAATGATAGGAGCTTGTGTATGCAACCACCTTTGGTGGTCGATCGCTAGGAGTTGTTGTCGAAAAGTGTAAGCACACGAATAGCTGTGTGAATGCTGGTTAAGGCATGACTGGCAAGATTTCCAACCGCACATCGAAAACAATGAGTAGCAGACACCAATTAAGATCGCTTTTGGCACAGTCATGCTAGAACCCTTACTGTAGAATATCGAGTATACAACTTACTGAAGTGGGCATTTCCCCTCTACGCCTGTGAAACCTGGCCTCTTTAAGTTGATAGTATTCGGCGGCTCTGCGTTCTCGATCACGATCGTCGTTGCAAGATTCTTGGTATCAGGTGAAAACGTCTTGCAAGTGATTCCGATTTGAGGCGGTATGTGTATGGGCATGATAGAAGCTGTCATTAATTCATGGTTATCTTGAAAGACCGATATCTACGGTTTGGATGTGTGCTACGCATGTAATCTCAGTGACTTCCACACCTCTCAATTATCGTAGGGGTGTCTAAAAGAGGCGAAGAACTGGTCAGTGCAAGACGTGGCTCCATGTATGGGGTCCAAAAGATAATATTTGAGATAATAGCAAATATGGCTCAAGATAGTGCTGCATATTCCTTGTTTTGTTTACCATTAAAAAGGAGAACGAAAATAGTGAGTGTTTCTTCGAATGTGTCCTTAGAACTGCTTATTTTAAAATCCACTACTACTTTTGTTTTCATCTTCTTTTTAGTTTACTGTATCTTCTTAATCTTGCTTTTTTAGTTTGTATGGCGCATCTCTTGGTGCTCTTGTAGTACCAGGTTTGTGTTCTAATCATATTAGAGTAAATTAAGCTGATATATATCAAAAAATTTATATCTACAGTACGACTGACGAGAATGTTCAATGATTGAAGTAGAATACGTGAAGCTTACAAATAACTTGATTACTTTGGTTTATGTGCATATCCCACCAGAAATCTTTGCATTACATATTACTAATTAGTGGTAAAAATAGCGTTTTGCGCTAATCTCATTAACAGTATCTAACTGTTAAACAGTAGCCCTATATATCAGGGTACAGATTTACTGGACGCAATGTTTACGACAGATTACAAAAGGAATTGACAAAGTCTCTGGATTTTTATTCAAAAATTAGGACGGCTGGCGCTTAAGTGACTAAAACATTCTCTCGTCAATTTGTTTTTTGTTGGCATTTTCTCGGTTCAATTTCTCGAAAAGTTTATTTTCGTTATCTCCTCAACTGTATTCAATTTTCTTAATAAGATATAAAAAGGGAAATGTAGTGTGCTCAGTGGTCAAGCATGAAAAGTAATTAGGGGGGATAATTAAACAATAAACGTATATCTTAGTTACAGAATATCCAATTATAATTCATATTTCATCATTTTAGGTACATGTAGAAAGCGAAATAATTTTAAAGGTGTATGCTTCTTTGAACACACCATGTCATAAGTTGTTCAAGGATGATAATTTGCCTCAATAAGCTAAGATACTCAATTCATTTTCCCTTAAAATGTTTTTATCACTCTCAAACACTAGCAGATCAGTTATAACTTTTTGTTGATGTGCTTGTAATTCTCCGTTGTTTTGCTGAATCGAATTATTCGACCTCTATTGGCATATGGGCTCCTATCCAGATGCCTCGGTATTGCCTGAATATTTATTACAATAATTTACTTGGTTGTGGTTAGCAGAAGACTCCAGGATGCGCGTTTCGTCCTATTTGGGAGTCGCCAACTAGATGTACCTGCATCCCAGTGAGTGATATGACAACAGAGGTCGAACACTTCGACCCAGCAAAACAACAGAGAATTATACGTATATCAACAAAAAGTTGTAACTAATCCTCATTGTAAAAGAGGTGGCTATCGTGCCTCAATAGCCTAGTGGATAACGCTGTAGAGTTTGAAGCGACGGGTACGATGTTCGAATTTCGATGTAAAACATCACTCACTAGGGTGCAAGCACATCCAGCTGGTGAGTCCCAAATAGGACGAAACGAGCATCCTGGATTCTTCAACTAGCCACAGCCAAGTAAATTACTAACAGATCAGAGTATTAAATATCTTTTAATACTTGTTCAGTAAAGTGATGAAGATGGAATCTCGACAGAAAAGCATAAGGGTCAGAGGTGATGAGTTTAGTGTGACTACTCCACTTACATATGTATGAAATGTAAGCTTAGCAACCACCAGTTCCCGGTAATTTTTCTATTAGTGTAAATTTTCACTCAAACTATGAACTTGATATTTCTCTAAACTGTTTCTTCTAAAGTATTTACTATCCCAAAACACAATATGAAACTGAATAGTAAAGAGAAAAGCGTTTTTATTAAATATGTTACACAGTGAAACAGTATCATTCATTGATAACGTCCCGGACACAATTTATTTCCCATATTCATATCAGGTGATATGATACTGTCTCACTGTGTGATATATCTAATAAACAGACTAAAATGGAATTACAATCTACCTCAGTGCCTAAGTTTTACTCCTATATTAAAGAGAAAAGCGGTTATGTAGTATATCACCGGGTATGCCTTTATCCAAGTGTAATTATTTTATGTTTGTTAGAAAAATACAACAAAATAACTTAATAGATTGCAATGTTGTACGGATAGTACCTCGGTTGCAAATGAAATTAACAGAATTGCTGAATTTTCTCAAGGCAAACTTTCGTTTATCTACTTCAAAAGTAACCGTTACGCGAATACTTGTAACTATGGTGACAGAATACCCACGTATTCCAAATATTCCTTTTTAGTTTCCAAATGAAAATCACACAATAATTTATCTCATGAATATTTCTAATATTTATGCGTAAAACCTAGTTATACACAAAATCAAATGTCTAGAATTCACTGAAAAGGTGTGAAGAGTTTTTTGAGTGTCTATTGAAATTAAAATCTTCACATGCTTGATATCAAATCTTGGCTAACTATGGGTGCACTTCAATCGAAGACGATAGTTTAAGTCTATGAGCTGCTAAAATTTCCGTGATTATTCTTTAATATAAACCAGAGTCAAATGGAAAACATGGTCAAGATTCTGATCGGCAACTTTCCTACTTCGAAACAAAGAAAATTCTAAGGTTGTACATGTTAATACAGTGTGCTAAAAATAAGAAATACACAGTAGACTAGTACCACAGTTAAAAGTAGTGGGAAGTATTGATGTAAATTAGTAAGAAAGCTACAAAAAGCTGGAGGCTTGTTGAAGAAAAAATAGATTTTTAAATATGGCTAACAAGGGAACTTCGACACTTAACAAACGAGTAGTACTGCGTGAAATATGGTATTGATTACTGTTCACTAACAGTTCTATGTGTAATATTCACAGCCTACAAAATTTGCCAAACTTAGTCAATCAATCACCTCACCTCTATTACTTAAGACTACTCCTAAGTTCTCCATTCCTTCCACGGGTTTCATGATACATAGGCAGTACTAAGAAGGCAAAAGTGGTTCAAAATCAAGACCCTTCTCATGGTCTTCATCTTCATTGGCCGTGCTTGACAGCTAAATAAAGGAACAGATAGAACCTCTACCCATTACACACAAGCCTTATTACATAATCAAATATACGACTGGTGATATAAGTGGCATATGTCAACAAGATCGATCGAGCCATTTGTATCAGCGCCTATATTTCACCGATCACCGACTCATAGAAGCTGATTCGATGACTACAGTAAGTGAACTGGCTACTGTAAACAACCACCTTACTCTAAACAGTCAGAAGAGGTGTCAACATATACCAGTCCTGAAGCAAACATTTCCATTTAAGCTCATGAGAAATGCATACCAAACACTCGAAAATTCTCACTTGAACCGTCCGGAAGACTTTGAGTTTTATCAACGGCCTTACCTAACGCATAATTAATTTAGTTTACACTTAGATATGCAGTGAAACGGTGCTTTAAAAGCCTCTATTTCCTCGCAGTAGTTTGTTTTAAAATCTAAGAAAGTTCAGTCACTCAGTAAGGCACATGAAATTTGAAATCTGATATTCGCTTCTAATCATATGAGTTTTTCTTGGAGATATTTATGCAGTAAACAGACGTAAACTACAGTTGGACGGATCGGTTAAAGAAATTTAAACCGCCAAAAACATGACAGAATATAACACTTCCGATCGTATAGTGCTGACTAATATTGGTAGGTACAGCAGTCATCTATGAAGACGTAAAATAACTGACCGCTAGGTATCAGAGATTAACTGCAGTAGAAAAATGATGACCATAGTTGTTAGCTGTTAGACCAATTAACCTGTACTTGAATGTCGTAGGAGTCAGGAAGAAAAACTTGAAATGAACCAGTAACTGAAAGGACTCCTCCTAAGATGTACGTTTAAAGTTCACTTAAGATTTAATAACAAAATTTACAGACGAATTGATAGTGTAGCAATGGAATCTTGGACCTGTGCTTGCTGACTGCTTCATGGCTGGCTTCGTTAATAGCATATTGCTCCCAACAATCGATCGACTTCATATAGATAAAAAGATAGATGAACGGTACCTTCACTGTTTTTATTGACAACCTCGACTTGACACACCTCCTTCACATTTTAATGACATTTACACTAAAAGCTGGATCGAACTTAGAGTTTCATTTTTTCGACATGAAAGTTAAAGGAGACCTGATGGTTCGATTCAAAGATCCACCTATAGGAAGCTCACTAGGAACGGGAAACTGACTAACTTTCAAAGTTGGACGTCTTTGTGTCCTCTCATTTCCATCACGAATAAAGAGGATATGTAGTGATGCCACAGTTATTTAAGAATAGGAAACCATCGGAGAAATACTGTTAGAGAATGGCTACCTATCCAGATTTATAAAGAAAAATATGAAAGAAAAGAAGACTATGGAAAAGATTAAATCAGCTGGAAAAAAGTTATTTCTGAAGAACCTCAGATTCGTTAAAGTATGAAGGACAAGTCTCATCAATGTGAATTTACAAGTTCACTTGCTAATTTGGAGCTGTATGCTTCAGCCGTACTATACGCTCACTTGAGTAATGCTCTCGCAAACATTGCTCTACCTGGGTCTTGAAGTGTGACCACAAAACTGTCTCCAGCTGCATAGTTGGAGACCTCTGGAACCTCATCCAAACCATTAAATAGGGATGACGACTAGACACTTGTGTACACCTGAAGCCTTGGCAATTCATAACTTCAAGTCTCACTTGTTTATTCAAAAGAATCATGAACAAACACTCTATTTACCGTGGCCTCAAGCAGATACTCTACACCTGTGTTCATGTTTTGTACTTTACTGACTGATTTATTTTTACCGGATGCCAAATCTTAAATTCAATGTTGGGACCATTTCATATGTTACGCCATAACATTTCATTCTGTAAGTGCATTTATTATTAAGTTATTATTATTATCATTAAGTTTGGCCTTTGACCAGAAACTTGTCTGGAACATTCAATCATTTTACTTATATACGTACGAATGTTCAGCTGTGAAAATGAGTCATCAAAAAGATCGTTATCACTGGTCGATGCCTATTTTCAATCGGATCTTACGCTGTCTACTTGAAAAAAACAACGATTTTTAACTCAACATACAAACGTGCTCCCTTTTATCATAATTTTATAGTAACTCTACGTGAGCACACACATAGAGTGTCACTCGAACTGATTCTTTCAAGAGAGCTTCTTTGTCAATTAAATTCGTCATAATTATTTACTTTTTAGGTGAATGAGATGAATGTAGGTTTTAGTAATGATAATAAATGGTGAATAATTAACACTAACTTCGATCCAATGTCAACCAGACACCACAGAAAGCTACCAGAAATGTTGCAGAATATTTGCCAGCATTCAGTAGGTGAGGATTGGCGGCTTTTACTTCCATATCCCGGTAACGTCTTAAACACTGAGCAAATCGAAACCAAGCTGGTAATATCCTCAAAATAGGATCCAAACCAAATAACAAACCTTCACACCGACAACTCTGAGCTAGAAATTACAACATAAAAAGTTTGATAATAAACATATTATAATCCAAAAATGCTTAGAGATACACTAAGGAGATATAAAACTTCACTCATGAATGGAGAAGCCACAGCCAGAAACAGGATGAAAGAAATATACAGCGGTAGAATAAGATACCTCCTTAAAAGTAGTTACATCAGTACGATTTCCAGCGCTAACAGTATCCAGAAATGAAATGAAAATCGAGATGACAGGGAATATTTGTAGCTTAAGATTGATAGTGCTGTGTTCTCTGAGCTGGATGGTTTATTCGTTAAAAGACCATGACGTCTAGTCCTGAGTGCTGACCAGATTCCATCGGTCACTTTGCAGTGTGACCAACAGGCTAGGAGGCTCATCAAAGCGGGGTACTTTGATGGATCCTAGTTGGTTGGAGGCAATAGGGAGGAAGTCCTGCTTGACCCGAGCTTCGTGCTTCTTGGCACTCGTCAGTAAGACGTATATGCAACCTCGGGAGAAATGGTGTTTCCTCTGAGATTTGAACCGGCGTCACCCCCTGCTGCAGTCAGCGACGTTGCCACTGAGCTATATCGAGCCATGATTAAACCATTCAGCTTGAAGAACACAACGCCAACGAAATGAAAATTATTTAACAATACAAATATGAAATCTACTACTTCCAGTTTTCAGCTTAGATGAAAAAAGGTGCAGATTTCGACAAAGCTTCTTTAACTTGCATATTTGTTACTTGTTACCACAATTAGAAGACAAGTTATCATGAAATTTCTTTAACGGAATCATTTCTAGTGTTCTTTTAACTAGATGATTCAAAATCGATTCCATTCCTTCACAATCTGTACTTAGGCATGGTATATATCTTGCTTCTACTCAGAGTCATTTATTTCGAAAGTTTCTCATCATAGCTTTTCTTTGTAACACTGATATCTGAGTACAGCTGGAGCTGTGCCCAATTGGTCTAGGCACTTGATTTCCAACCGATGCATCACGAGTCCGAACCTAACTGCACCTATCGAGGTTTGGGCAGGCAGTTGGTATCACTGGTCCTGGCACAACAGGTCTGGCTCATTGCCATTTTCGGTAATTTATCAGAATTAGTCATGGTACTCATAATATATAGTAGGCTTATAGAGGAGCTAGCACATATGCATTTGTCGAAGGAGGCTAAGCCTCGCCTGATGAGTGATGAAATCACTCCACATTTCGACTACAGATAAATTAAAGTGACGTAGCAATGCTGCTTGAATATCCTAACAGTAATTTGTATCACTCACAGCTCATAGATCCAGATGTCTTTCAGCTACAATGAAAATCTTTTCTTGCTTGATTGATACGTGTTTAAAAGTTATAATTAACGTTGCCTTGCTTAGCATCCGAAAAGGTTAACATTTCCACCAATTTCATAGTTCACCTTTCAGTTGAACTGATAAGCAGACAGTTATAAATCTTATGACTCAAGTTTAACCCGTTTTGGTACTAAGGCAATTATTTTAGTGACCACAGTAACGATAAGGTTACTCATCTAGCCTTACATCTGTTACCGTGTACAAAAAATAAGAATCAGGATGTTTGCAAGATGAAGATGGTGGAACTGTCTAGATACTCGCTGGACCCCAGTTTGTGCGTGGACGGTGATGTGTTTCATGACTTAGTCAGTGGACAGTAGGAAAAGAACTGGTGATATCTAGCATAACTGATTTATTCCTGTCTTAAACCCGAAGAGTGTCTTGGGTATTCATCTATAAAAGTGATTCTGGAATTCATCTGTTCGCACAATTTTCTCGTAATGCTGACAGCTTCAACCAATACCCTGTTATGTCACACAGTTTTGCACATGATGACCCTATCCACGTTGTTGAAGATGTTTTCAGGGATCGTAAATTAGACGGATAGAGAGATGTTACATTTAGCTGACTGCCCAATAAATACTTAAAATCTCTTAGGTAAGTCTGTGTGCATGATTTATTTTTGCTAAAGTTAGCTCACGAATCTCTCAGATTAATATCAATCTTGTCCTGAAATTGGATAAAGATGACCTTGGTAAATTCATTCCGTGAGATCGACTAGGCTGTAGATCCTACGTTGTTATTACAGATTCTGGAGCACTTTTGCTACACATTGATAAGATCTATATTCTTCTACTAGCACAACGTTTCCTACGTACATTTCACCACAAATGCTTGTGCTAAAGGTGTTTGGTTAGGTAACCATGTCATTCCTCAATCGTCTTATACAATTTTCTTTTGCCTCTTTATGGATCAGCCTGCTTCGATCTACCTTTAAATCTTCAACCATACGCTGAGTTCCAGGTGGATTCCGTGCCAGTGGTCTGGTCACTATCTCTTCAAGGTCTCAGGTGTATCTCGCCCTTTAGCATTCCTCATTTGCAACTGATCTTTCTGCTTCAAATAATCCTCTGTTTACTTCTCGCTATTCTTACATTCTGGATATAAACTCCAACCTGTCATATAAATGGACCTACTTAGATTATTCATTTTAAAGTTGTACTTATCGCATACAAAGTGAATTTTTTATTTAGCTGATGAAGGCGAGCAATTCATTTCAGTATTGCAGTGGGAAATTACGAGTATTAATAAACAACTGACACCCACTGCACAAGAGGTGATTCTCGTGCTCCAGTGGATAACACTTTGACGTTTGAAGTGATGGATACTGAGTTCGGGTACTAGTGGAAACAACAACATTCACTGGAGTACAGTTACATCCAGCTGATGAGCTCTAAATAGGACGAAACGCGCATCTTAGGTTCCCACACCAATTAGACTAATTGATGGATTGTTAGCGGTAGCAGTATATTGCTTACAAGCTGAAAAAGAAATTGCTGATCTTACAAACACTGAACAACAGTCAGTGTAATGTCAAAATGAGGTCAAAAATGCAACACTAGTAATTCAAGGAAGCCTCACATAATTCGAGGAAACTTTTTCAGAACATGATACTTCTATTAGCTAGTTATAAAACTTATAAGGTCAGCGAAATTATAGAAAATGGAAAAGTGAACTCAGAATGTGATATAACGTGGTAGTTTCTTATATGATTTTCTCTTAAACTTGGAGATAAGAAGAATAACAGGGTTGTAGAAGACTGACCCTGAGAATTTGTACAGGAAGAATTATCTTTGTCTATCCTGTTTTCTGAATCACCAGAATACCAACTAAATTTAGTTGATTCAGGGTTTGAGAAATCGGATTACGTTATGCAGTATGATAATAACCTTTAGATTCATCAAAGAAACCTGGAATTCACTAAAACATTTTAACACCCAATCACGACATGCCGAGCGCTCGCAAAAAAAATCCAAGATAATGGATGTGAGCTTCAGGTTGGCTGAGAGACTATCTAGGAAAATGTAGAACATAGCAAAGTCATCAAAAATCTATATAAACCGTTGCTTTTTGCACGTTTGACTTGAGATTAAACCTTTATCTTTTTTGCCGCTTCTTTCTGTTTTCAAGAAACCAAGAGACCCTTAAGAGTGAAGCCTAAGGTTATCGTTCGAGAGTCCATATACATATACATATACCACAAGAATATATCAGATTATTATTACTTTTCGCTTGTGTAGTACTTTCTATACTATCATTTTACAAATTGCCAAGTAAAGAAAGAATAACTATCGTGAAGTATGTAGAAATGAATGCAACTATTGGACCATGGAATAAAATACACAGGAACAAAAATACCAGAGAAATATAAACTCGAATAAAACAGCAAATACAAAATATTAACAATAACTAGAAAGTTGAATGTGCCACTACATACCTTTTAAACAGAAGAGATAACTTATTTTTGCTTACAATAGAATGATATTCATTATAAGCCTTATGAATTTTAATGATGTATGATAGATAAATAACAGAAAAAATTCTTCGTCATATTCGCAATTATATTTGAGAAGGGGAAAATCGATGAAGTATGTAGAAAAACTATCTAGGGTCAAAAATTCAAATCATACCCTTTGTGGACTATACATATATGTTTACATTTCAATGTATAAAATTTACTTTTCGTTTTACCTTAACCTTAAATAGTCGATTAAACATTGAATGGAAAAACTAGTTCGTTAACATTTTCAACCCATAACTTGCCCATCCCTAATAAATAACGAAGTCAAGAGAAACCTACATCGAAATTCGTCAGGAGGGTTCTTACTGTATATGTACTACATAAAATCTATAAAGTATATTAAGGTGCGTAGAATAAACTCCAGTGTAATACAAAACTTTGAAATACATTATAACACATCTAAATAATGTGTTCTGGGTGCCAAACACACTCCACCTTCTTCAACCGACGTTAACCTATTACATAAACCTGTACTAGGTTGGGCTATAGTAATAATTAGTTGGGAATTATTTAAAAATTAGTTACAAAAACATAACGTCCAACAAAATTTTTTGACAATAAACATTTCTGAGAAAAGGTGAAAAACAGTAGACAAAATATTTTAACACCGATAAAAGAGACTAATAACTCAAAAGCAAAGTCAATCCTTAAAAAAGACCATCCGGTTGACCAGTGAGAATAACAATGTACTAAATCTAATCCCTTAGATCACTGAAGAGTATTCCTTCACATGTATGTCGCTGATAATTTAAACAATATTGTATTTATACTGCATGATGATTGAAGGTGAAATCAAAATCTGGGCAGAGGCAGGAATTGAACCGGAGATCACTGGGGTTTCCAGCTTGGTTCTCTACCAACTGAGCTACGAGACCCGACTATTGATCGGATCCTAATTTTACATCAATCATCAAGGGTGTTTTCCAACTCCCATATGAATTCATGATGCCCTACTATCGTTTCATCGTACTGACACTGGCCACCTAATCAGAACTTCTTGGTTGTATTGTGTTCTCTCAACTGGGTTGTTTAGTCGTGAAGCTTTCATCGTCTTTCTAGACAGTGACATCATCACCACTAACTTCAGTATGGAGTGAGCTGTCAATATCTCTCAGTGAGTGATTTAGTGGCTTGCTCTG